CGTTGCAATGTTACATTTTTCAAATTCTTCTAAACCTTCTGAAATTCCCCATAAGTTAGGAGAAAACCCACTTTTTTTTTTACATTTCACCTGTAGTCGGTGAAGATTTTGACAAGAAAAAAAAACATCGAATGACTTTTTATCGCTTGAATGTGCTAAACTCTTCAGATGAAGCTCGTGTTTTTAAATGGTGGGATGGGTCACGTGTTACCACCACCTGCCCCCACCCCCTCCCCTCCAGTCGGCCCGCCCCTCTCAAGTAGATTTATATTCCTCTGTTTTTGCGCGAGTGCCTCCTATCTGATCACATTTGACGTCCCGGCCCCCTTGATGAGGTCACGTGACTTGTGACAGTTTTCATTTCTCCATCAGAGCTCAAGCAGAATCCCGTGCAGAAAAAAGTTTAAATTTCTCCTTGAAAAATCTCACTTAATGGTACTTTGTTGAAAGGATAAGACGTTGGTTCTTGGGGGAGTTTTTACGACCAGTCTCAGTCGGCGTCAGCATGTCAGTCGGCGTCAGTCGGCGTCAGCATGTCAGTCGGCGTCAGTCGGCGTCAGCATGTCAGTCGGCGTCAGCATGTCAGTCGGCGTCAGTCGGCGTCAGCATGTCAGTCGGCGTTACATGTCAGTTGGCGTCACATGTCAGTCGGCGTCAGCTTGTCCGAAAATTCTCCAACACTCCCCATGAAACTTCATCAGTTCGTTGTCGGAACTTTATAGACTCTCGAAAAAAAAAGTATCCCCTTGGGTAAAAACGTCTAAAGGCCGTTAAAACTGACCAAAGACGATTTTATTCTATTTCTCAGGGAGGCAGCATCCTAAAAACGTCTAAAGGCCGTTAAAACTGACCAAAGACGATTTTATTCGATTTCTCAGGGAGGCAGCATCCTAAAAACGTCTAAAGGCCGTTAAAACTGACCAAAGACGATTTTATTCTAGTTCTCAGGGAGGCAGCATCCTAAAAACGGATTTTATACTTTGTTTATGTGAAAGAAAATGATATTTAATTATAATAATAATTTTAAGACAAGTAAAACTAACTTCAAATTTTAAATTATAGAAATTTATTAAAATAATTATTAAACTACAGTATCGATATAGTATAATTATGCAGTTGTATTAACGATTTTCTAATGTCGCTCTTAAAATAGAAGTTCACAGCTTAAAGGGTAGAGTTTAGTTTCAATGTTTACTAATTCTGTTTGTCTTAATTATTCTTACTTTTAATTCTTTTAAAAGAGAAAAAAATATTTAATATCGGAATGATTTTTCGAGCCGTTGTTTCAGTTTTATGAAGGGAATCACACTTAATCCAGCCTAAACATACAAAACCTTTTTTTTTTAATTTTACCTTCTTATTTTACAGTGTAGCACTTTCTAGCTAGACATTTAGACGTTTAGATAAGCAATGAAATTGAAAATGGAAAGTCTAATGCTTTTTCAATTATTAAAATAAATAAATGACTAAAAGGTTAATGGAAAACGGGTAAAGGTTAGTATTGTGAGAGTTTTTTCGGTATAGAAATACTAACCCAATTACGTTTATTTGAATACATAACAGTAAATATACTATTCACATTGTATGGGTGCCTTCAATTTTTTTAAAAATAAGTATACGAATCTAAATACTAAATAATACCTAAAGTAAAGTAAAGACTCCTCTTTAGACCTAGCGATGCATTGGGCAGATAAAGTAGAGTTCCTGTTTCTTGACCTCGGCTAATGACAAATACTACTTAATCAACATTAATGATTTTTGTTTAGCACTTCTCTCCACGGCTCCAAACTACTGCGCTCCATAATCTGATCAACTGTTTCAACTATCGTTGACGATGTCGTTAGCAATACTAAGCTCTTCACAGACTAGAAATATCATGACCCGTCATGAAATAGCAGTTTGTTTCGACCTGAGTTCGGGTAAAAAAAAATTTAAATAGAAAAAAAACACGGCTTAAATTCACAAATTTTTACTCAAGATTAAATGATTTGAGCACCCAATTTACTACCTGAATACAACCGTCAACAAATTTCATAATCAACGGATAAGATGTTTCGATATAATTTTTAACGGAGAGACAATTACAAGTAGGAAAAAATCGGTCTGGGAAAGCTATTAGTTTTCATTCAGCGAAGTGTAATTTTTTCGTGTTTAATATTTTCGCTATAGAGTGTATGTATATTTTTCAGTGAAAATACACACACACACACACACATATATATATATATATATATATATATATATATATATATATATATATATATATATATATATATATATATATACAGTGGCTTAGGCAGGGGGATTGTGGGGGGGGGGGGGCATAACCCCCCCATAGACCCCTCGGTATATAGAAAAAGTATGAGGGGGGTGCAAATCAAAAGTTTGAGGGGGGGGGGGGTGCAAATCGAAAGTTTGAGGGGGGGGTGCAAATCGAAAGTTTGTCCCCGGGTAAAAATTGGAACCCACCCCCCCTTGAGACGATCCTGGCTACGCCACTGTATATATATATATATATATATATATATATATATATATATATATATATATATATATATATATATATATATATATATATATATATATATATATATATATATATATTGAGAGATAGAGTAAGATATAGTGAGAGAGATAAGTAGAAAAACAGCACAATTTATTATTCATCAAATACAACTTAATCTGCTACAAGCGTATAACGGCTATGATTTTAGCAATGGCCAGTTACATTTTTTTAAGTTGGCGCCAAACACACCTGCTCCTTATAGAATGTTAGGTTTTGAACATTTATCGGTTACATTTCTATTTTCGCCAAAGTCTAATGTCGGTTAGTGTCTGTGCGCACAGATCTAGCTAACTCAACAATTAAATAAACTGATTGGTGTCATCCCCTCCCCCCGTGGTTTGACCCTGTGCGGTCCTTAACCCACGCCCCCCACCCCGCCACCGTATGACGCCGTACGGAATGTTCCAGAAGATATAGTGAGGCTAAACGCTGGCTAAGTTGTCGATTTGAATTTGATGTTAATTTACTGGGTGGCCCGGTTTAGTTTCTCTAAGATGAACTTTAAATATCTGCCTGTTGTGAGTTAAATATCTGCCTGTTGTGAGTTAAATATGCCTCTATACACAAATATCTGTCTGTATCAAGCTGTCTGTATTTTAAAATGTCTGTTGTTGAATGTTGACATCTTAGATGTCTGTATATAAAAGTGTGTCTGTTGAACTCTAGGATGTCTGAAATAATAAAAATTGCAAAAACCTAGTCACAGAACCTGTATTATTTATAAATCTTTTATATAAAAAATTCCCGAATGTAAGCCCTAAAGATCGCGTGGACATTTGGATCAGCCGCTGCTTGTCTGTCAATATGAATTATTCTTTTGTCAAAAATGTGTATGCTAAGATTTTAGATTATCAAAAACGTATCTGGTAAAGTATACCTTTCTTGCCCTAATGTCATGTCGTGTCATCATAAAACTTTTTTGTCCTGATGTCATCTCCTCAACAAAAAACTTTCCTGTCCTAAAGTCATGTAATGAAAAAAATGTCCTGCCCTAATGTCATGTAATGAAAAAACTTTCCTGCCCTAATGTCATGTAATGAAAAAACTTTCCTGCCCAAATGTCATGTCCTCATCAAAAAATTGTATTCAAATGTTTTTTAACGTAATGCTTTTGTCCTTCCCACAAAAACTTTGTTTGGCTTCTAGTTCCCCAGATGCTTATCAATTCTTTTATCTGGATGCCTTCTTGTGGCCAAATTAGATATTTACAGCCAAATTAGATATTTATAGCCAAATTAGATATTCATTGAAATTGCTTTTTGTAAACCGATGGAGTAATTTTCTTCATCAATTCATCTTTCTTACAATCCCGGCAGGGGGGTTCCGAGAAAAAAACATCTTTTTACAAAATGAAATCCAGCAGGTTCGGACATTTTGTAGCAGAGGAAATACTTCATGAGGCGAGCTCAATGTAGCCAGATAAATTATTTTATTTAAATGATGGTCATATACTGAAGTAAAGGAAATTTATTTGGTGGGGTGTTTTCTTATTTATTTGTCTGTCTGTGTGTTTGTTTGTAGTTCTATCGATGCTATTCGTATATTTCTCTATGCTTACAACACTAAAAATCTATTTGTATAAATACACCAAGAATGTGTTCGCAGAACATGTGATATGGCCATACGCTACAAGTACATTGAATGCACGCAGTGAGCGGTTCATTGAATTATTTCCGCTTTACGGCATACCCTACTTATCTATATGTTTTTTCATTTCTTTAAATAAAGACAACAGACGATATGAACGAGACATTACGAGACATACACTGGAACTAAGGTAATTATTTGAGCCCCTGGGGGGGGGGGTTGAATATGGCGGCATGTAGTGGGGGGTGAGGCTCAAGTGAGTGTGGGTGTGGGTGTGGGTGGCAACACATACCTGGACCTCGTGAATGGACCACAATAGTGAACAAGATGAGTCGACCACACGAGTGGACCACATTAGTGGACCACATGAGTGGACCAGATGTGTGGACCACACGAGTGGACCAGATGTGTGGACCACACGAGTGGACCAGATGTGTGGACCACACGAGTGGACCACACGAGTGGATCACATGAGTGGACCACACGAGTGGACCACACGAGTGGACCACATGAGTGGACCACACGAGTGGACCACACGAGTGGACCACACGAGTGGACCACACGAGTGGACCACACGAGTGGACCACACGAGTGGACCACACGAGTGGACCACACGAGTGGACCACACGAGTGGACCACATGAGTGGACCACACGAGTGGACCATATGAGTGAACCACACAAGTGGTACACTATGAGTGGACCACACGGGTGGTCCACAGGGATGGACCACACGGGTGAACCACATTAGTGGACCAGGAGAAAGCCATGTATCTGAATAAGTCGATGCATTATTATTTATTTTCTCCAGATAACTCCTCCCCTCCGTACGAGAAAGCACAGACTTACCTTTTTGGTGACGGCAGGTCCAGGCGCCTGCAACAAAAACAAAAATTTCTATCAGGTGAAAAAAATCTGGCAATTTTCGCTAAAAAATTGTTTTGAAAGAATAAAATACCGTACTTATTTCAGCAAACAATTTTTTTTTTGCCATGGAATGTTGAAGAAAAATCAGAGTGATAGTGAAAACTGCATTCAATTTAATAGAGTTTGTCTAGTACATTAAGAGATACAGTGTTAAGTGTGTAGAATTGTGTGATTGTGTGTGGAATGTAATTACACTGTGCGGGTTGTGTGGGAAATTAAGTGCGATGTTTGTAAACGTGTGAGGAATATGTACATCAGCAAGTAGTGAAGGGTGAAGCTAACGTGTACGTAGAGTGTACCAACTTGTAGGTTGCATATGATAGAGAGTGTGTTGCACAATAAAAACGTGTGATAGACATCAAATTTACACTTACAATCATGCTATGTGTCCGTGTCTGTTGATTGTGTGAAATTATTAAGCTTGGATCTTTTAATTTTTACATCTAAAAACAACCCCCGCGACAGACTATTTTTTTAAATGTGTGATATTTTCCCTTACAACAACAATAATTGTGGTTTTTTCCCCCTTAAATAGGTTATTCTATGTCGAGACGAGACACCAGATATGGGTCAAGGTCAAGAAGAACTCACCTCCGCGCGTGGATCATGTATGTAAACAAGAGGACGGCGCCGAATATGCCCAGCACAATCTGCACGTAGAGGATGGCTATTCGCATGGATATGTCGTACTCAATATCATGCACGGAGCTCTTCAGCTCCTTACCCGGCTGGCTCGTGTTGGCGCCAGCTGATTGGTTGGCCTCCCACGTGACCTGTGAACTGTTGGCGGATGTCATGTTGAGGCTGGGCGTGGTCCAGAGGGATGACGTCATATCCAGATGCCAGCTGGTGGCACTGGCATTTAGTGGCATGTCGTCTGCTTGATTTGAACACGGAGCATTGGTTGACCTGGGAGACCAAAGGTGAATTTAGTTTTGCACTTGAGCACCTTGTAGGTCTTTGTAGGTGTTGAAAAACACGAGTCTTTGCTGTGGTTAAAAAACGTGGTCTATGTAGTGCTAAAAGATGCCCTGCCTAGGTTTGGTCTGTCCGGTGCCGTGTTCGAGTTGCCGATTGATCCAAGAGGTAGTTTAATAATGCAGCTTGTTATTTCACCCTCTTATTTATGTCGGGTACTGTTGGAGGTGAGTCTGTCCGGTATATTGGGTTTGTATATGTCCGGTATGTTGAGAGTTGTATATGTCCGGTATATAGGGAGGCGTATGTGTTGGTTACAGTATATGCGGTATTCTTCAGGTCTGATATTGTCGTGAAGGCAAGGGTTGTGAGTGTGTGTGTGTGTGTGTGTGTGTGACTGTAACGATTTCATCAAACACTAATGTGATTTACATCGTCACTTGTACTGGTACACTTAGATCTGGTACAATTAGATCTGGTACAGTAAGGTCTAGCACGGTTAGGTCTGTTACAGTAGAATCTGGTACAGTAAGGTCTGGTACAGTAAGGTCTGGTACAGTAAGGTCTGGTACAGTAAGGTCTGGTACAGTAAGGTCTGGTACAGTAAGGTCTGGTACAGTAAGGTCTGGTACAGTAAGGTCTGGTACAGTTAGGTCTGGTACAGTAAGTTCTGGTACAGTAAGGTCTAGTACAGTTACACTAACGTCTGGTACAGCTTATCGAGGTGTTAGCTCCAAGACTGCCTGGCTCTGTTGGTACAAGCTGTGATCTGTGGATTTATAAACAAGGTGAGTTAGTTGTGATTACATTTTGCTAAATGTGCTAGATGTAAGAGATTACATTGCCAGTCACGTGGTGCTTGACCACACTCCACACCCCCACCCCCCACACGCGAACTCAACAAAACAGCTCACATGCATCAGTCTACAGCTGGTGTCATCTGTGGTGTTTTAAAATTGTGAATTCACAGTTTTATCCCAACATAGTCGTCGTGACCTATAATATAAGCGGCCAGGTAGTGTGTCAGTCCGTCCGTCCGTCACCGCTGTAGAATCTAGAAACACAAAAGTAAACACCATATGCCTAGATTACTTGGATCTCATTGTCTTATCTACATATGTAATTCTCTACAAGGGACCATGTGGGACACCACCACCACGTACGAACGCCGAACCGCCCCCTCCCTCGCTCTCAAGGCATGTGGTTTACGCCGAATGTTTACAATCGTGGTAGAGCTGGGTCGAATTAGTGACGGTTTTTAAGGGCAGATAATTTATTTTTTAAACGATTTGAAACTAAGAGAGGTAACAAGTTCTGCTTGATCTTTTCATTGTCGTCTGTAAACTGTCGTCACGGATGGCTGCTTCCACTGGGGCGGGGTGGGAGGGGGGGGGGGGGGATAATCGTCCTTCACTAGCTCTGATAGTGTTTTTAAGGAAAATATTTTCAGCCGCAACATTGGTAGTGTCGAATTCACTAATTATAAATTGCTGAAAAGTTAAAAATAAAACAACTAAATAGCGGAGTAAGGTCTATTTATGTAATGACTTAAATTTTTCGATTCTCGGCAAAGTTTTTACTCTTTTGCATACGTCAACAAAGACCGCAAAGAAAATATTAAATACACGCACATTGCTAAAACTTATTAAACGGATCAATGTCAAATAATATTTTCTGTTTTATATAGCATAGAAAAAAATGAATACATTTTAATAGCAGTAGTGTCGAATAAAACTAATAAAGTAAAATATCTAAAATTATGCCAGAGGAGGTAATTTTTAAAAATTCAACTAACACGAAATATTGCTATTTAAGGTAAATAAACCGGGAGTGATCTCCCCTAAACTTTCTCGAATATTCTTATATAAAATAACAGGGGATGGGAACTCGGGATATAGATATGATTTTTAATCCATTTTAAATACTTAAAGTTTTAAAAACAGAATAAAATCTCGTAGACAAATTAATTGCACACCAAGTGAACGCCAAATAAAAAAGCGCATAATAGTGCGCAATATTATTAGTACTTTTAAAATTTACATTAGTTTTTTGAGAAATCGGAAGTAACGTAAATTACTACTTCCGGTCAACGGAAATTACTCAAAATTTAACAGAAGGTAGAGAATTAAATCTTTTACTTACAAGTGGAATTTCATTTATCTATCTGAAATAGTACTCAAGTTATAGGCTTTTGAAAAATTCAAAGTAGAAAAAGTACCACTTCCGGTTGTCGGAAATCGCTCAAAAGTTGATACGGATCTACGATTTTGATATAATACTTATATATGAAATTTCATCAACCTAGCTGTAACGGTACTCAAGTTATCGTGTTTACACACAGACACACAGATACACAGACACACACACACACACACACACACACACAGACATACGGACAAGATTGCAAAATTATGTTTTTCCGTATCAGTGAGGTGTAAAACGTCGAGATTTGTAAAAATCTCGATTTTTTTTTTTGCACGATTACAATACTTTCTCTATACTACGTATATACGAGAAAGTAAAAATGTGAATGCTAATTGCGCGGATGTCCATGATAGCATTCTTGTTGAAATACACAGCCGTTTGTTTGATAAGGCCATTTCATAAAGCGTTTGCGTTTGTGTTTGTGATTGAGTTTGTGTTTGCGTTTGCGTTTGTGTTTTTGTATGATTGCGTTTGTGTTTGAATTTGTGTTGCGTTGTGTTTGTGTTTGCGTTTTCTTTTGTGTTTGCGTTTGTAAATATAAACATGGAGAAAAATTGTAAACATCCGCCAAAAATAAATCCTTCCCAGGCCACAGAGTTAAGTAAACAAAGATCATGCGCAGTACGGCTTATCACATCAACAGCTTCGGTTACATCATAACATCCACTCTGTGCTGTCAAATTTTACGTCTAAATGTTACCTTAGAATGGATCTGTTACTAGTCTTAGTCTAGTTGGGTAACAATTGGTCTAGTTGGATAACACTAGGTCTAGTTGGGTAACATTAGGTCTAGTTGGGTAAGACTAGGTCTAGTTAGGTAACACCAGGTCTAGTTAGGTAACACCAGGTCTAGTTAGGTAACACTAGGTCTAGTTAGGTAACATTAGGTCTAGTTAGGTAACACCAGGTCTAGTTGGGTAACACTAAGTCTAGTTGGGTAACACTAAGTCTAGTTGGGTAACACTAGGTCTAGTTGGGTAACACTAGGTCTAGTTGGGTAAGACTAGGTCTAGTTAGGTAACACTAGGTCTAGTTGGGTAACATTAGGTTTAGTTGGGTAACACTAGGTCTAGTTGGGTAACATTAGGTTTAGTTGGGTAACACTAGGTCTAGTTGGGTAACACTGTAAGTCTAGTTGGGTAACACTAGGTCTAGTTGGGTAACACTAGGTCTAGTTGGGTAACACTAGGTCTAGTTGGGTAACACTAGGTCTAGTTGGGTAACACTAGGTCTAGTTGGGTAACACTAGGTCTAGTTGGGTAACACTAGGTCTAGTTGGGTAACACTAGGTCTAGTTGGGTAACACTAGGTCTAGTTGGGTAACACTAAGTCTAGTTGGGTAACATTAGGTCTAGTTGGGTAACACTAGGTCTAGTTGGGTAACGCTAGGTCTAGTTGGGTAACAATAGGTCTAGTTGGGTAACACATGGTCTAGTTGGGTAACACTAGGTGTAGTTGGGTAACACATGGTCTAGTTGGGTAACACAAGTCTAGTTGGGTAACACTAGGTCTAGTTGGGTAACACTAGGTCTAGTTGGGTAACACTAGGTGTAGTTGGGTAACGCTAGGTCTAGTTGGGTAACAATAGGTCTAGTTGGGTAACACTAGGTCTAGTTTGGTAACATTTGGTCTAGTTGGGTAACACTAGGTCTAGTTGGGTAACACTGACAGTGTTATTGTCCGCCATCGTAAATTCGTTACATCGCACTTTAAGCCAGCTATTTTAAAAAAAATTCTTTTAAGTTGAGCAGGTCGGTCAAGACTTCTGGCATCTCTTTTCGTCTGTTGGTTCCACGTTTGTTTACACCCTGCATCCATCGCTTTTGTTTTGTCAGGTTAAAGTCTTTGTTGATAAAATGTCGTCTATGTTTTTAAATATTATATATATATATATATATATATATATATATATATATATATATATATATATATATATATATATATTATTATTATTATTATTATATTATTGTTATTGGCCACGTCCTCAGTTGATATGCTATTGAGTTTGATTATCCCCAATATATTTTACACAACACGTTAACATTCCAATGATCTTTTAAGTTCTATAAACCTCCACCCCCCCCCTCCCCCACCCGTGTGACAATAAGACAACAGCTGTCCTTACTATGTGCTAGCAAGCTGCGGACTGCGACAATCAGGGGAGGGTAACCACGTCAATCAAGGGAAGATAATCACGTCGTTTCTCGCTTGTAAGTGGGCGGGACCCACCCCACAAGGAACGATAATCTGACCGTAACGAAATCACAGCAACAGTCGAACAGGACCCGTGATGGCGGCCATCACGTGACACGGCTGCCAGGTTTCTCAAGCTCTCCAGTCCAACTTTTATTACCGCCCGGCCAGCCTGGCTAAGATCCCCACTTGAAGGCCACTTGAGTCTGGCCACACAGGGAGCAAATAGCCTGGCCCTTGATCACCCGACCCAGACCAATTTACCTCCACTGGTCAGCGGCACCGTTACCATAGGATGGAATCAATGGACACTGACCACTCGAGCTAAATTCCCTAGACAATGGACAATGGTTTTTTTTTTACTACTCTCATTAGGATTTTGAAACTCTTTGATTAAACTAGGTCCATAATGTATCAGTATCAGGTAATACGAACAAATGTGAATCATTCCTTAATTTAACTAGGTCCATAATGAATCAGGTGATATGAACAAATGTGAGTCCTTCATTAATTAAACTAGGTCCATAAAATATCAGGTTATACTAACAAATGTGAG